CTTATGCTTTTGTTTCTGTTTTTATCACTTTTATTGTTATGCAACCCACATTTTGATAAAATAAATTTACAGGGACACAAATTTATCTTGGATGATCTAGCGATCAAAGCACTTTCTATACACTTCCATCTTAGTAAATTGCTTTGTCTTTTGATTATAGCAGCATTTTGTTAAATCGAAATTATGGTTAGACTCCTTATGATGAGTGACTAATTCAATGAGTGTATTGTTTTAATCTTTTATTTAAATTCCTTGCGGTTTCTCCTGTATATTCTTTGTGACAATTATTACATATCATAGAGTAAATTCCTCCTCCAAGTTTTAGCTTATTATTATTTAGCTTTGTATTAATTAAGTTATTTATCGTTTTAGAAGTAGTTGTAATAAAGTCTATGTTAAACTTAAATTCTTTTCAATTCTAGTTTAAATATAGTGGGTAGGCAGAGTAATATACCTCGATTCTTTGGATTTTCTAGAATTCTTTTATTTTGAAATATTTGACGAACTTTCTGTTTCGCGTTGAATATGAAATAATTAAGATATTGGAGAATCTTCAAAGTATCTAATGTATGTCTCTTCATCGTGTAAACAGTGAGTGTTATAAATTGTAAGTGCTTTTAATTATAACGGTATTTATATTTGTTATTATGAAAAAATGATTATGGTCAGAATAGAAATTGAAGACTAAGATCTTCGCACTACTAGTGGGCATACTGCGTGCCTGAAAACCCAACCCAGTCATTTCTATGTCCCCTCGCTATTATTATTATTATTATTATTATTATTATTATTATTTCCTTTGATTTCTCGTGTATACTCATTTCTTTCCGGGTCCCAACCAGAGACGTAAGGTCAGAAATGGCATCATAAAAAAATATAACTTCACACACATTTTACTAGTGATCCCTTCAATGAGTTTATTGGAACATTTTCAAATTAAACCGAGGGTTCCGACTACAGCTGGAGTTGTTGATGTCCTCGCGTGCCACATTTTTGAGATTTCGATTTCAAGGTCCTTGTACCTTGATAGTTTTTTGAGGGCATTCAAAGATACATTATAGTCTGCAGGGGCAGTCATGTCTATAAGAAAGCGGTCTTTGCGGTTTCTAATCATGATCTCGGGACGATTAACTTCGATTGCTCTTTCTCTGTATTGTAAACTCTCATAAAATTGCCACAGGTCCTATATATGTAAACGGGCCTGGGTGGTCTTCATACTAAATTCTTAGTGTATTTTCCATAAAAATTACGTATGTTCCAGTACAGATACTGGCCCACTCCGTTATTCTGGGTTTTAAATTCAGTGGGTGTCAATACCATTTATATTTAGTAGGTGCCAATACCGTGCAACCTAATACAGGATGGTCGATTGTTTCGGGATATTATTATTATTATTATTATTATTATTATATCCGATATATATATTATAGTTTATATTTTTTCATCTTTCATTACATTCTTCTTCTTTATAATTTTAAAAAATGATTCTGTCTCCTTTCTTTCTAATGTTGCCAATATTTTATTACAACTAAGATTTTTTCTTCAAATACTTCATTAAATTCTTATTCCTCCCACTTTTTATAGTCCTTCTTCCTCCCTATCTTCTACTTCTTTATTATTATTATTATTATTATTATTATTCTGCGAAGCATCGTTTTAGTGTTTTTGCTATTTTTTTTATATCGAAATATTACAATGCTGGATACAATTTTCCTTGCCGTTGCCTCAAAAATCACAAAAGCGTGCCGTAAAAAAATAAATCTACAGTAGCGTCCAAAACTAAGGGACAAAATTTTAAAACCTAATATTTGTTAGAAATAACAACTGTGAAAAGCTGAAATTTTGACAACTGGTAGTCGTTATCATCCATAATAACATACTAAAATTTGAATCATTTGCAAAGGATAGAAAAAGAATTATAACAATTATTTATTTATTTTCAAAATAGGATCGTCCAAAAGTAAGGGATAAAATTGAGAAAAACAATGTAAACGGCAAAAAAAAACAATAAAAATACATGTACAATCAATATTTAGTAAATGAGCCCTTGCTCTCAATGACAGCTGCACATCTTCGACTACAAGAACGAATCAGTTCTTGACAATCCTCGATACTAATTTTAGACCATTCTTCTTGAAGCTTCACCAACAAATCCTCCGTGTTAGTGGGATTTCTTTCCATAACTTTCACTCCTAAGGTCTTCCAAAGATTTTCTATTGGATTTAAGTCAGGACTTTGCGGTGGCCAATCCATAATTTCCAAATCTTGCTCGCTAAGGTAACTCATTACCACCTTTGCCTTGTGACATGGGGCATTATCTTGCATAAAGGTAGCCCTATCGAAACCTGAATTCTGTATGATTGACACAACATGATCTTGAACAATGTTTTTATAGATCTGCGCGTTTACACGAGTTTGTAACCGGACAAGAGGCGTTGTACCTTGGCTAGAAAACATTCCAAATACCATGACTCTTCCGCCCCCAAACTTGACAGTTTTC